GCTCCGTGCCGGCGTACCGCCCCCCCCCCCCCCCCCCTCGTATTGTTTGTGTTGAACATTTCAGAGCGGTCCACGTTCCATTTGCGTGTCGGTTACTGCCGTGGCGATTACTGCTCCTTTGCTTGTCTTTCACCGCCGACACGTCCCGCGCCGTCACGCCGCAGCTGACATCCCATGCTTATGTCATGAGTTTCTCGAACGGCCAGTCCGCCATGCCCTACTAACGCCCATCTCACCCCTTCCGCGTGTGGAGCGTCCCATCTTCGGGAGATGATCGCAGCGGCTTGAGCGCGCACGCACGAAAAACATGAGCGGCCGCCGTGTGGCGTGCCACTCACGCACTGAGGGCGCCCGGCGCAGTGTCCTCGCCAGACCGGGCGGGCTGTGTTTGCTTACCCGACCGCTGGCGCTTATCTAGCCTCCAATTGGCGCCCGCACCCTCTGTGGCCGGCTCCCTCATATGCCGGGCACCTCCAGGAAACGGGGGGCCGGCTGCACCTCTGACGCCAAGCGTTAACGTATTTTGCACGGAACTGACGTGAAAAGACCATTACTGCTGGCGAGTTTGTGTGATGGATCTGTGATCTTACTGGATCTTAACCCTCGCCCTGGCAGGGGGGGGGGGGTCGATGCGACCCCCCCTAAGGTTTTTCGAAGATAGCGTAAAAACGGCGGCGCGCAGTGCCGCCAAGTTTGGCACAACCTATGGGGCAACCTTTTTACATATGACCTGAAAATTTCAGGTCCGGGTGACCTTGGGTCAGGTCACCAGGTCAGAAAAACCGGTACAAGGTCATGGTCAAATTTCAATTTTCTTTTTGCACCTGTCCAACTCACAGTTTTGGACCGATTTCCTTCAAACTTTCAGGATGTGCTAAGTTCACCAAGTTGTATAACATATAGTTCGGGTTTTTGAGGTCACTGACCTGAGGTCAGTTAGAGGTCATTACGTCGTAATGTTAAGCCTATGGGAAAATACTAAATTCGGAAAATACTAGAGATATCTGCTTCGTTCTATCACTTTTGTGCTTTGAAACCACAGTACTTAACAGCAGGTCACTTGGTGCTTCTTTGTTTGGTGTACTTATCCATGGGTCAGGTCAAATGAGGTCAACTGAGGTCAAATGACGTTTTTGCCAATAACTTGGCACATAATGACGCTAGAGCTTACAAAATGATGTCATTGTGTTCCTGGTGATCAGCCGAATCGAATGATATGCAATATGATGCAATTTGGTCAACTTGAACTTAATTAATTAATTAAAGTTTACTTAAAAAATAAGAAAAACTTTAAGTACACTTAAGCAAGCTAAAAAGCATATCATTCGACGCGCCTTGACGTGCTGAGTTCACTGGTGCTTTTATGTTTGCTCTATCTTAATTAGATCAAAAGTTATTAGCGAAAAACGTTTGACCTGTTCTTAGCGAAATTTTTACATTTTTACCCCCCAAAACCCCCCTTAATATTGACCTAGAGCAACCAAATTTGCACAGGGGCGAGAAATCCAAGGGGCCCACCTACCTACTAAATTTGGTGTTTCTAGGTGCCATAGGAGCCAATCGCGAGGGGGGGTCGCATCGACCCCCCCCCCCCCCCCTGCCAGGCCGTGTTATGAAAAATGCCCTGCCAGGGCGAGGGTTAAAGTAATCTGCATGTTAAGATCAATGCATGATCGCATTAGACCGCAAGACGAACCACTATCTTTGCTCTGTGATCTTTGGAATCTGGTGACAAACCAAAGGACCCTGTGAACGATATATGATCCATGATCTGTGTGTCCCACAGCACGAAACCTGTTAAACTCTCACCCCAACTCCAGGGGACTTAATTCAAATGGTGCCACAAAACTGGACATTGCCAGCTATTACCACACTGGAATCTTAAATCAGAACCGTTGCAAATTATTCCATATATCCATAAGGGTAGGGTGAATAGGTCAAAAACGCCCCCATTAAGCGCGAAACCTTCTGACACTCAACCCAACATAGATTACTCAAACCTTTGGGCACCATCATGTAGCTCATTCTTTTTACTACGCTTTGATACCAAGAAAAGACACCTGCGTGTGGTATTTAACCCCCCAAAAAGGTTTTCGCATACCCTTACAAAAGGGCGTTTTGCCCCATACCCTGGGTAATACGCCCACACCCATGTGCAAAGCGCCCCCACCCCATCCATCAACAGAACATGATGAAGATGGCAAAACTTGACGTCATTCTGACGTCATTTGTGGTCAACCTTTGGAATGAAATTTTGTTGCAATGTGTAAAATGGATGCCCGGAGGAGTCCTGAAAGTTTGGTGACGATATCTGCAGTCGTTTAGGATATATCAGCAAAAAAGGACAGGGAGAGGCCTTTTCGGCCCCGACCTACAGGGCGCTACCCTGCACTCTCACCACCGTGCAAAACGCCCCCTTTCAGAAAACTGGGGGCGTCTTGCCCCATGCATCGAGTAGGCGTCTTTCCCCATCCACTCCATTTCCGGTCAACAAAATATTGACAAAAAACGCGCCACTAACGCCGCAGCATAATAAATTCAACAGAATTACAATAAAACGCAGCTTTGAGTGATGTGCAAAATAGCAAGTTTTGTGATATAAAGAGGGCATAAAAATATTAGGAATCTTCTGTAAAAACAACAAAAACAACACCCAAAACCAACATCAGCACCTACCCACGCTGCTCCTCAAGACGCAGAACCGGAAATAGAGACCTGCGTAAACAAGCAGCTGACTGTTCTGAAAGACAGGATAAAACACCTATCCGTCGATAAGAAATACGATTTTTTTAGGGGAGGCGTTTAACCCAGGGGTGCGTTTTCCCCACAGTTACCCTATGTGTAACAGTCCACAAGGATGAACTCCGTAAGGATTAGCTCCATAAGGACACAAGTAACACCTTGGTCATTAAAATAATTAAAAGATTCTGGTAAATGATCTCAGCATATTTCTCGAGAGCAGCAATATTGATTCAAATGCAACTCTTGACAAAATGAGGAAATTGGATTTATTATCCGATCTGGTGAGATAATACATTCAGATCCATGAATCAGATCCCAGATCCATTTACTCAGATCCATGCACATGTTTGTTTTATTTGTCTGCGTCACGCTTTGTTGATCATATAGACTCACATTACCCTAGCTAAATCGGCGTGTTTGCACTTAACCAGGCTATGTAGGTAATAGGTTTGTAATGTATCAGTAGCTGAATAGCAGGCAGTAATCAGTCTTATACCCATAAACAACAGTTTTGTGTAGAAGTTCAAAGTCATGGGTAGGTACAATGTTTTTTCTACTGATCCTCACAAAATAGATGCATAACCAAAATAGATTTAACCGCCGACTCCAAACTACTTACGATTAATACAGTGGTCTAAAGTAAAGCAAGTACTGAGAAACTACCGAAATAAATTGTGAACAACAAACACACCGAATCACACTACCTTATGCTTGGTTATAGCACGTCATTACGTCTTTGAATTTTGATCAATTACAAGATAATAGGCGGAGGGAACAAACTTAACTGACAACTCATTTCAGTATTGGAATGAATTTTGATAAGTAACTGACTTATTTTTACATCTGATAGCGGTAGTAATATAGTACACTTGAACAATGCGAAACAATTGCATCCAACAAAATTGTTTTGTCTCTTGATTCACATATTAGGTACCCAATAATTGTCATCATACGAGTATGATTCGTTTCGTATGACATAGGTAAAGGTTAAGACACGCTACTGGCTTATAGTTAGTGTTAGCCTTTCTTAGAAACTGGCTTTCTTACACTATTTGCATCGTTCGAAACTTGGCAGGACACAGCACCGACATCCCTGATAGGGCCGAGGCATGGCAGACACTGATTGGACCTGACGGGTCCGGCCTTAGCACTGATTGGTCCGTGCTTGGCTGAAATGAACGCTGATTAGTCCGTGCTGGGCTGAAATGAACGCTGATTGGTCCGCACTGAGCTGATGTGAACGCTGATTGGTCCGTACTGGGCTGATGTGAACGCTGATTGGTCCGTGCTGGGCTGATGTGGACGCTGATTGGTCCAACATTTTTGCTAATGTTACCGCCCATTGGTCCAAACAGCCGTTGAATCGTGTGCGCTGTGTGTAGCCCGAACACGACTGTCGTAGCGTTGTCACTGGCACTGTTGCGACTGTTTGCTGTGTAATTGTGATATTGGTAATATTTCCGTTTCCTAGCGGTTAGAGTGCATAACGATTACTAATCTATATTACTATTTGAGGAGGGTGCGTCTGTCCGTTACCGAGGTCCCGAATTGGTGGTGCTATCTAGTTACTATCTAGTTAGATGAAAAATTCTACTTAGGTAGCTGCTAGATAAGGCCTGGTCATTCTAACAGGCCACTATGTCCTGGGTTTTCTGTGTGTTCTTGGTCTGAGATGTCCATTACTTGTTAGCAACATGATCGCTAAGCTCTCATGCACTAGACCATGCTATGACACAGACGAAACTGACAGTAGCATTCGGTACGCCATATGATAATGTTGTGGGTTGGAAGATGCATCATGCGTCTTGGCGTCCCTACCAATTTACGACACTGTTCAAAATATTGTTAATCTGTTGTCAAAAGACGCTGGTGCTATGAATAATCATGGCGTAGCTTCTAGGACTATAGTTAGCTTAAAGTCAGCTATCGACGTGCAAATATTTGTCAACGATTGTTCAAACTATACCTACCTAGAAATGATAAGTAGAAGACTATTCAACTTTCAAGTGTGCTTGTTGCGTCGCGTGTAGATGTGCATTCACCTCTTATGTTTGCCCGCTAATACATATTTTGTTTGAGCAGGGTCTTTTGCCATTTAACACTTATTGAATGATCGAATGTGGCTACTGGCTACCCATCCTGGCTCACTGAACATTTGTGAAAGCGACGGGAAACTATTCTAGTTTAAAAAGCTTTTAGTATACATATAGAGACAAAGTATAGGTAATACTTTGTTGGAAGAGTGTTTGAAGAGGTAGTAGCGATTTATGTGTATTCGATGTTGTTTATCATACAGGGTGGTCCGCAGGTAAACCGATATTCTCAGTACAATTACACATCCCTAGCGACACCTGTAACTACATCAGCGCCACCTATTAGCCTATAGTGGAACCTAGCACTAGTCTCACCATAACACCGGCGCAGCCCTAAGGCTTTTCTCGGCGGTCACGTGCCCAATCAGCACTGCCTCGGTTCATTTCTCGCTCAGTCACGTTCTGGTCACGTGACAAATCTACACTCCTCCATCTAGCCACGTCCATTCATGCCCTGAACATTTCCAGTACCATTCCGCACCCCTTCTGACGTCATTTGCTTCACGACTCGGTCGCCGGTCACGTGACCACCCGCCACCTCCGTGGCCACTCCACGCTTTCGCCACGCTTCACGATAACTCTCAGGGAGTTTAAACTCCAAGCCTATGTCACTAACTGGCTGTAGACCTACGCACGCGCGTAGAATGTTCTCGATGGCAGCACGCTGCTTGGAGAGAGCGTTTATAACGGGGGCGCCGGAGGGCACTGCCGGCGCTTTGAGGAGGTAGCCGAGAATGGACAGCACGCTGTGGAGGCCGTGGAAATCCTCCTCCGCGCAGCATCTGGGGAATACAGATAGGGGTGGTTACTGGTTAGTGCAGGAACAGTGGTGATTACAGCAGAAATGGTGGCGGTTACAACTGATAATGGTGGTGGTTAAAACTGATAATGGTGGATATTAGCCACTTCAGTGGTTACGAAAAAGGACGTGCCTAGACCTTTTGGAGCTACGCTATCCGATCCATACAACCAAGATAAACACTGAATTTTTGAAACTATGTCTAACAAACCAATTCATAAAACCAGTAAAACGCCTTTTGGGCGAAGAACGAGCGAGCGAGATAGTGAGCCCTGCAGGCTGCACGTGCGGAAGGGCGAGAAGGTACTTCCAACGGGCTTGCGCAAAGCACCCTTCTAACCGGTCGCTAGCGGTGTACCAAATTTGAACGCAATCGGCCCAGCCGTTCCTGAGATCTGGAAGCGGCATTCTGCACGTGCGCACGTGCAAACGGGGTCCAAACTGACTTTTGCACGGCACCCTACTAACTGGTCCCCAACCGTGTACCAAATTTGAGCGCAATCGGCCCAGCCGTTCTCGAGATCTGGAAGCGCCCCCTGCACGTGCGCACGTGCAGTAGCACCTTAACCGCAACACATGGGAATGCATTGCCTGGTGGGTGCCTACCTGTATGCCAAGTTTCAGCGAAATCGCCCCAGTAATTACCGAGTTATTAAAATGGGAACAAATTTGACACCTCTTATTGTTGTATTTTGCACGTGCACTGGAGGTGACCCACATGCATCGAGAGTATCCTATTTTTGGTAGAAGGGATGCTGCTACCCTACAAAAATTACCGCAAGTCAATCGCCCAAGCGGCTACTGAGATATGAGCCTCTCAAAATCACTACTTTTGCAAAACAGCTTGAACACCCTTGACTTTTCACGTGGCACGTGCCACGACGGTCACTGAGATGTATCAAAAGTAGTTAATTACGGGGTAGAAGGGATGGGGCTACCCAGCAAAAAAGACCGCAGGCCAATCGGTCCAGCGGTTGCTGAGATATAAGCCTCTCAAAAGCGTTACAGGCCGGGCCGGGCCGGGCCGGGCCGCTCATACTGAGATTTTTCCGTTATATTGAAAAGACTCGCTTCGCTCGCTGCGCTCGCTCGCTCGTAATGAGTTTCTTCGTATATCGTTGAGATCTGCTGCGAGGAGCATGATAAATGTAGGAAGTATCATAAGAATATATGACCTTCTCCTCGCCCCTCGCAAAATGACAAAATGAATGAAAATGATTATTTATTGATGAATTGATGATATTTCGGTCGCAGACCTTCGTCTAAATCGAATTCGTTAAATCGTACAAGGCAAAAGTACCGAGTGAAATGCGCAACAATTGTCGACTGCCTGTAGAAAGTGAAAATTCTAAATTCGTTTGTCTCGTGGTCGTCATGCAGGGGTAACATCACATTTCGAGGTTCGCATCGCTTTCGATCGTATAAACGTATCGATATCAAATGTGTAACGTGCCGCAAATAGATGGCGGCACGGTCCTCCCGGGTCTAGCGTGGCCCTCTCTCGCCAGTTGCCAGCTGGCTGAACATAGGAACGCGGGTCAAACGACGTGGAGCTTCCCGGCCACGAACTCGCTGCCACCGAGTTAGCAGACGGACGCCTTATCCACTAGGCCACGGGGAGGACAAACCTGAAGTGGATCCTCTGGAACAGCTCCATAAGGATGACCAGATTCTCACCTGAACTGGATCCTCTGGAACAGCTCGGTAAGTATGACCAGATTCTCACCTGAACTGGATCCTCTGGAACAGCTCCGTCAGGATGACCAGATCCAGTATCAGTGGTGCAGCCAGCAGGGAGTCTTCACACGTGTTATGGAGCACCATGGTGTTGTGTCCGCCGCACATAATCTCTGGGGAGAAGGAATAAGAAGAAGTATGTCAGAGAGAGCTGGAGCAGATGAGCAAGAGAGTAACCCCCCTAACCGCTATGTCTGAAATGTGATTATTTTTAACGTGTCATGCGACCATAGCGGTGGAAGTTTGTGCCGGACTGAGGATGCCCCAGCTCTCCCATTGCCAATTACCACGCACCGGCTTGGCTTTGTGGCCCCAACAGACGTCGGAGGTCAAATTAGCCGTGGGGGCGGATTTGGTGCGCCCAAGCACCCCCCCCCCCCGCTCGGCACAAACTTCCACTTATGTATAAACGGGTTTAAAACAGAAGCGGCGGAACACCTTCAAGTAAGGGGGGGGGGGGCACTGCCGACTTTTGGTCCCATTCTTTCCATGCAACGCCCATAGGGCTAATGTTAAAATGCCAAAATCAAAGGGGGGCAGGATGTCCCGGTGCCCTCCCCGTTCCGCTGCCTATGGTTAAAATATATTTATAAAAAAGAAAGTTTAGTCAAATAGCAATCAATCGACAAAATCCACGATCCAGCGATGAGAATCGAACCCAGGACCTTTCGCTCACATCTCCCAACGCCGACATACCTGACGTGTACTCGTCCATTGCGCGTTTGGAGTCGCCCACGTAGGGCACATACTGAATAACAATACAGTGATCCGGTCCCCGTCCGTCTGGGAACAGGATAGAGTTGGAGGCGACCATGTCTTCAACGACGCCCGATTTGGAAATCTGAGGGGTGAAAAATGCAGTAATTAGAGTCTAGCTACAACATAGCGCGATAAATTAAATTAGGTAAATTGAAGCTGTCTGCAAGAGCGCAAGGCTTTTGAACAGAATCATTTGTTATGAGGCTGATGGAGTAAGTACAAACCCCATCATGCAATGTAAGATGTAATAAGATGTAAGATGCACTGCGTGATGTTAGATGGTGTGCGAAAAAAATGACACCAAATCTCTATATTATTTGGTAATTATGTGCATTACTGCGTGCATACTTTAAGACAAAACCGAAATATGTGCGATGTAATTGCTATGACTGAAAAGTTGATCTTTGAATATACTCAAAGCACGATGACTATACTGAAGACCGATAGCTCTTTTAAACCATTTGATCGTCTCTCTCCTCCAGCCTGGCATTCCCCTGACCTCTGGTAGGGTCAATGACCCCTGACCTCCGGGTTCACTCACCTCTGACCCGGGTTAGCTGACCTCTAACCTTTACACTGACCTCTGGTAATCCCCTGAACCCTGACCTCTGCATCAGACCTCTGACCCAGGTCACTGACCTCTGGCCGAGTCACTGACCTCCGACCTCCCGGGGGTCACTGACCTCCTTGCTCCTGAACTGCTGCGGAGCGGAGAGGGGTCACTGACCTCTGACCTCCCAGGGGTCACTGACCTCTGGCATCCCGGGGTTCACTGACCTCCTTGCTCCTGAACTGCTGCGGCGCGGAGAGGTTGCGTCCGTCGTTGTTCCCCAGGTGATTGTAGCTGACAATGGAGACCGGTTTGATGCCGGCTGAGACGAGAAAATCCACCAGAACGGACTTCACCTGGTGATGAAATGAATAGGATAAAATAAAACATTTATTTAAACATGTTGGCGATGTCCAAACCTGAGATGAAGAATTAACAGACTAAACCGCATAATTTTCATGAAAAACAAGCAAAACACGATTGTTTCACTTCGCCTGAGAGATACAACAAAAGTGCTTTGTAAAATAATAAAATACCTTGACAAGCACACGTCCTCCACCCGACCGTCCCTCCCCCCCCCCCCCCCACACACACACTTTCCATAAAACCCACCCAAAAACCTCCTAAATTTGTCAAGCCCTTACCTAAAATCTTATCTCTCAACTCAATCAAAACCTTTAAAAAATCTCACAGAACCTCAAAGTCTCGCCCCCACCCATTCAACGTCACCCACCTTAGTCTGTCCGGACTTGAAGTCATCGCCGGCCAGGAAGAGCCCCCTTCGCTCTGCCATTTGTCTAAGTCCGGGTACCAGGCTGTTTTGTGGGGAGCCGTTAATGAACGCACATCCTTCCAGCATGGCGGCGACACCGTACAGAGTGCTGGGCGCGAGCAGACCCCCTCCTCTGCTGCTAGTGCCTCCGCTGCTGCTGGTGACACTGGTGGTGATGCCATTGCTTGCCCCGCTGCTGCCGTTCTTCGCGTCACCATTTCCAAACCCATTGGTGATGCTGCCAATAACATTGTCACTGTTGCTGCCTACGTTGCTGCCTACGTTGTTGACGATGGTTTGGTCGATGCCGTTGGGCACATCACCATTTTCTACGCCACCATTTACTACACCCCCGTTGACGCCATCGCCTTTACTGATATCCCCAGCATTCGCAATAGCCTGCAGTAGCTCCTCCTCCGTAGTGTTGAGACCGGCACGAATTTCAGCGAATCGTTCGGTGTTGGCAGTCCAGAGAACGATGACTCGCTCGGCACCGGAAGTGGACCGGAAGTCACGTATATCCACCCGGAGCTGGTCCACCTGCTCCTGAAGGGTTCCTGAGGAGGCGAACAAATGGGTCTAAGGTGTGGACCGGAAACAAAATATGGGCGAGACTGTTTGTATGACGGTACACTGATAGCATGTTGGCAGAAATACTAAATGACTGCATGGCTGCCAATAGGTAATTCATAGCAAGACGCCTACTCTCCTCCTTACACATGAGTTTTAAAATTCACAGTTCTATATGGTAGCGTAATTATCCAAATATTTCCGTTGAAAAATTGGAATGATCTAAATGCCGACAAGTAAAAAAACGAATGATTACTCACTAGCTTGTGCATCATAAGACCCATGTAACAAAATCACTTGAATGAGCCACCCGTCATGTACTACACAACAAACCACCTCACACCCCCTGTGACGTCATTTGACGGTACCGTACCCTTGATGACGTTGTCAGCCCGGTCGGCCTGATTGGCTGCGATAAACTCCGGATCATACAGCGCCGGACGGGGTCTCATTCCAGCCATGTGCGGCTTCAGCTGATCTTGGAGAGCGGGATCCAGTACCTGTGCTCGCTCCATAGCCTCGGAGAGTGGTGCGGACGAAATGTCCCAGCCTGGCGTGACGTCAGAGGGGGTGTTAGCGGTGACGTCATGAGGGGTATTGACAGCGTGGGGGTGAACGGTTGAAGATTTGAGATGGTGATATTTTTTGGATAATGTCACACTCAAATGAAGGCAAGCTTTGGGAGATAAGTGCGGAAGCGTTTGCCAGTGAACTCAAAACGTCATGTTTGCAAAATTATCTCAGGGGCAATCAAACCATTCGAGTAATAATAAATTGGATTGCAAAAGTGATTTTTATGGCGTCACTGAAATCAAGTGATGTAAAACAACGTCCAAAGGTACTTTTCTATTGAATTCTTTTTAAAAAAATGCCAGTTTCACGTTAATTTAGACAAAATCAGTCCATCTAACAGTCTCATTCAATCCCTTTAGAGAGTACCTACTCAGCCAACTACTATCAAAGCTCTCAGAAGAGAACTTCCCACGTTCTCAAAAGAGAACTTTACCCGTTCTCACCGTCCAACAGCAGATCGTTGGGGTGGACCATGGGCAGCAGGCTGTTCAGGGGTGCGTGCTGCCCCCCTCCCAGGTCCACAGTGGAAGACTGCGTCAACGATCCGTAGTAGTTGGCCTTCTGTTCTCCGGTACGTGTTCTCCAGCTGAGGCCCAGACGGTTCGCTGTGCGCACAGGTGGACAAATGTGCGTGAGCAGAGTGCACAGATGTGTCAGAACTCAGAACACGGTACACGGAGAGGGAGAGAGAGAGGGAAAGCGGTTCTAAGAGAGCAGTGGCGGATCCAGGGGGGGGGCAAAATGGGCATTTGCCCCCCCCCCAAACGGCATGATTTTAACATTACGCCTATGGACGATGCATGGAAAGAATCGATAAATTGTTATGGTTTGCCCCCCCCCCCCAAAAAAAAAAACTCTGAGCTGGATCCGCCTCTGTAAGAGAGCAGTCAACCGATTAGCATGGACACACAGTGTATAGACGCAAAGGTTAGCACTTGGAAAGATGTGACATTTGTAGGAATCACGGACAGTTGATCGTATGCGTCTCTGCCTGAAATGGAAAACTCCCTATATTTTTAATACAAGTACCACCGGAACATCGGAACGAACACTTAGCGCGCGGTGTTTTCGTTCGGAATTATGAATGACATAATCCATGATAAAAAACACCATATTTTACACAGCCGTGGTACACCTTCCTCCGCCATAGCCTCAGGCTTATTTATAGATCACTCGAAAACCTCTCCAGCTTGGGTTCGATTCCCACTAGCTCCGCCGTATTTTCCGCCACCTCACCTAGCACGGCGGCAGTGACAGTGGTGCCGTTGTTCCCACCCCACCCGACCAGCATCACACCGAGTCGGGGCCGGGCTCGAGTTGTTCGGAATTCACAGTCGACAGTCACTGGTCGCACCTGGTGGAAAGGGTGGACGGGCGGTTAGGTCCAGAGTATATAACTAGATCACCGGTTAGGTCGTTTATTTATATATTTGTATTCAGAATAGGCCGAGTGGGGTAGTCGTGGGGGGGGGGGGACATAGCAGAGGGCTACGTTCACCATCATTTACGTATATTATTGAAGAGGAGCCTATTTGTGTACAATACATGCCATCCATTTTTATTCCTGCTGAAGTTTTAAAAAACGGCAAAATATGATGATAAGAAAGTGAATAAGAGGTGGATAAAAAATACGTTATAAAGCATGTCGGACAAAAGACGAAGAAACAATTCAATTAGTTCGAAAGTATTTATAAGATAGGTACCTAAAGACCGGAAACGCAGTTCAAGCGTAGATGACATTGTCAGCTTTTGTGTGACTATTTACCTTGATGACATTCCCTTCTGTCGACGTTTTCGTGGTGTGGTATTGATATTTCGCCTCTATGAACTGCGGGGTGTATCGCACGTTCTCACTCTCCACACGAACCTCCATGGCTCTGGAAAGAACAAGAAGCACTTGAAAAAAAAACAGCCAGATATCAATGATTAGTGCAGTGGATTTCGGGAGCGGTAAGAATGTGGACACTTATCGAAAACAGTCAAAACAAAACCCCATCGTCCCCCACAATCAGCTGAACTTATGGACACCAAAGGTGTAGGCAGACACTCCCACATGCAACAAACCAAATAACGCAAAAAGCATCCCTAAATTGATCACCTAAATAACCATCCCCCAATTGACATGCATCTGTATACTTTATGCATGAAAGCAGGTTGCTATGTACCACAACATATGTTATCAACCCGTTTATCACCAACAGCACAATCGCACTTATCCTCCCCAAACACACACGCACCATCTCACACGCACATGGACGGAGTGCGCATGACACAATCTGAGGACCCGGCGTTCCACGGGTATGGCCCACCCACCGCTGCCGAGGCGTCTGGCCGCCATATGTGAAGGGTTGTTTGTATCTAGCGGTTAGTGGTTACCGACCGGGTATGGGGCAGGAGGGGAGTTTTCTGGAGGAAGCGGGAGAGAGAAAGAGGGAGAGAGAAAGAGGGAGAGAGAGAGAGAGAGAGAGAGAGAGAGAGAGAGAGAGAGAGAGAGAGACAGAGAGACAGACAGACAGACAGACAGACAGACAGACAGACAGACAGAGACAGAGACAGACACAGAGACAGAGGGAGAGGGAGAGGGAGAGGGAGAGGGAGAGGGAGGGAGAGGGAGAGAGAGGGGAGAGAGAGGGGAGAGAGATAGAGAGAGGGAGAGACAGGGAGAAAGAGAGAGAGAGAGAGAAAGAGAGAAAGAGAGAGAGAGAGAGAGAGAGAGAGAGAGAGAGAGAGAGAGCGAGAAACAGAAGAAGAAAAAGGGGAAAGAAAAGAACGACAGCCCAATCAAGACATCCTATGAAAATTAATTAAAATATGAACTTCGCTATGCAGCACACGATTGGTTTAAATGAAAGATCTTAAAAACTAAGGGAATATAAATAGTGATGTATGTTCCGCATCTACTCCCTCGCTACCGATGGGGTAAATTGTTGCACTATGTAGTTTACCTCCCTATCCACCCTTGCTGTCGTGCAAGAGCGCAGCGTCCCCACCACGGTCCACCGTGCCACTCGCCGCAGCCCAGACACCCGACTGAAGACTGACGACACATGACACCCTCTGTACCCCCTCCCCTCCACCCTCCCCCCTCGCGTCCGGTCATGTCACCAGAGACACCCCTTCCCTCCCCTCTGGACGGCTCAACCGTCAACAACTGAGTCAGACCAACGTATGTCAGGTGCCGGAACTCAGCCAGTCTCCAAGTCAGTGTCCACTGAATACATCGACCGATGCGACCCAGTGTTCAGATGTTTACGGATAGGTAGGTACCAGGGATGCGGAGCCGTGGAAATTTCAAACGGCTCCGGCTCCGGCTCCGGCTCCGGAGAAAAAAATCGGCTCCGGCTCCGGCTCCGGCTCCGGGTGAAATGTTATGGCGGCTCCGGCTCCGGCTCCGGCTCCGAGTAAAATGGTCCGGCTCCGGCGGCTCCGGCTCCGGCGGCTCCGGCTCCGACTCAGTACATCCCCTATGCAATCAATTAAATGCGGGTGGAATAAAAATTGGATTGGTTATACGCGTTACCTATGTACTCTTGTCATGACCGGCTCACCGCGTCCCCGCGCAAACGCACCTCGGAGAGAACTGGCAGAACAAAGGACTAGGAAGCGATGGCATTGGAAACGCAGTCGCCGCGAATCGGAGTTTACTGAACCATCGTAAGCTGACACCCATCTCGGCTGCATTGGGGGATGGGGTGGGGGGTGGGAAGAGACGGTGCTGGGAGTCGCAGTCCACTGCACTGGCTTCAAAACAATGGCCGTCACCTGATGACCGGTCCTCATGTTCTGGGGATGCAGTAGACGTGAGGGGGGGGGGAGGAGCAGACAGGAAGTTGATTGCGTACTGTGGGATACTGGGGATATTCGGCTTTTTCATTCACTTGATGGCCCATGGCGTAATATTGGTCTCAAGATAAGGGCCCAGGCGACCTGTAGTTTTGATGCGGTGAATACCCTTACCCTCGCCACAACTCGGGCCGAGTGCACCCCTCCTCCCAGCCAGCGCCACCCCCACTCGCATTGTGGCGAGAGTGAGGGTATTCAACGCATCAAAACTACAGGTCGCCTGGGCACTTATATTGAGACCAATAGTACGGATATGTTTTACTGCCTTGTTCTGTTAAACCGAACTAGGTCAATTATTTTTTTCCTCTTCAAAAAATAAAAAGGAGCCGGAGTCGCCCCCTTTTTTGGCGGCTCCGGCTCCGGCTCCGGCTCCGGGCTATATTGTTTCACGGCTCCGGCTCCGGCTCCGGCTCCGGGCAAAATATGCCGGCTCCGGCGGCTCCGGCTCCGACTCCGGCTCCGGCTCCGCATCCCTGGTAGGTACCATAAGATTCGAAGCATTTTTAGGACATTCGATGCCTTGCTGGATACGTAGTTCATCATGCCAGAGGCATGCTTACTTACGATTATTATTTATAAGTGACTGAAATTTTCGTCATTATCGTGTAGGTGTAGTATGACCTATCGTGGATGCATGAACATTGAACAGGGCTTCCGCGTATTCACTAAAAGTTTATCACAGTTGATAACTAGGCGCAAAAGCAAGAAGATTATCCATTTAACCCGCGCCCTGATGGGGGGGGCATTTTGGCCCCCTGTGGTTTTTCTTAAATAGCGAGAAAACGGCGGCGCGCAGCGCCGCCAAATTTCGGGTACCTTACCGGGCATCAACTTGACACCTTCACACAAAATTTCAAGTCACAGGTCACCTCAGGTCAGGAGTTATTGAGGTCAAACTGAGGTCATGTTCGAGTAAAAATGAGCAAAAAACATGACATCTTGAAACGCTCACCATTTCTACAGTTAACAAGCAATTTTAAAGTTCTTTATGTGGTTGTGTAGAGAAAAAACGGCGCTACAAAACTGCTATCTCGGATTTTCGAAATTTTGGGATTTTGACCCCCAAAAATAAAAAATTGATTTTTTTAGAAAAATTAAAAAATTTCCGAAAATTTCTCGAATTTCGAAAAAAAAACGGAATATATGTGATAGTCCATGCGCTCTTCGATATACATACACAATTTTAGATTAATACCTCTTTTTTGGGCCAAGTTATAGCGAAAAAACTGTTAAGAATTGATAACGTCAAATTTTTGAACTCAATTTTTAGCAATTCTAGACCTCGTAGCGCAAAACGGAGACCACCATTGAACTCCCCGTGACGAGCTGCATCGAATCAATACCCATTTTATGCAAAAATATCAACTTTGAAATTTGACCAAATTTGACCTGACCTTGACCTGACCTTGACCTGACCTTGACCAAAACGTGACCTAAGATGGCCCAAAAGTCTGACTGACCCACATAATTGCATTTGTCATGTAAAATGGACCATAAAACATGCATCACACGACACTTTCATATTGTGACCCCCCAGTGACCTGACCTCTGTGACCTGACCTGGTATCAGTGACCTCAAATAGCAAAATATGTGTTTGAAGAACATTTCCCCATCGACGATTTTCAATGAAATGCATTTCACTCGATTTTACAACGCATTTCTTGAAATGCCTGTAAACGGTGAAAATTCGACCTTTGACCTGACCTGTGACGTCATCGGTTTGACCGAGGTCAATGAAATTGGGTCACAAGGTAGTTCCCCGTTGGGGCTATCCAACGCCGTTTACCGCTTGTCGCTATGTTGCGTGGTTCTCGAGATCTTAGGGGGGCCAAAATGCCCCCCCCCCCATCAGACCGCGTTGCTCGGCAGACCCCATCAGGGCGCGGGTTAAAGCAAACAATTTTTCTTGCCCGTGCATTGCACTCTCCAAAATTTTGTCACCGTCTTTACATTAAATACATTTTTCCTATCTCTTTAAATGTTCAGTCACAGTATCATAGTTTTGCCCAGATGAATGAATTAGATGAATCCACAGACCACATGTGAAAGTTACGCCTGAACATCACATAATGCAGCGTCCGGACGACTCTCACTGTCTTCCCGGAAGCCTCCTCCATTGCACTCTACTCTCAGCCATGTGGCCAATGACACGGTAAACAAATGACGTCACAGCGGTAAACTAGTGACGTCATACCCCGGTTGCCATGGGTCTGTTTGTGCAGATATGGGGAAGTTGAGATGTATGAAGACTGTCTCGTGTTTGTCAGAATGGAATGTTACATGAAGACGATTCAAATGGATACCGAGATTCAGCAAAAGACCAGGTAAAGAGATGGGGACATGGAAACGGGAACAGAGACAAATTCGGAGACGGAAACAAAGACGAAGGCGGGGCAGAGACGAAGATAGAGACAGTAGCAAACTGACAGAAGCAGATAGAGAACGACACGAAGACAGAGAGAGAGAGAGCGACGGAGACACACACACAGGTACGGATATAAAGACAAGATGGATAGATAGGTCAACAGGGGTTTGGATAAAGACGGAGGGATCACAACTGATTATCCTGCGGTGATACTGATAACCCTATCGGAAATGTTATAGGACGAATAGAAAACAGCATACGTTATCGTGCAATCCGGTTGCGAAGCACGAATAACGAATTGCGGTAATATTGACAATGGAGGTACGAGAATTTCAAAGGGCAGGAAAAAACAGTCGCCCATCCCATTCACAAGCATAGGCGCGGGAGCCGGGGGGGGGGGGGGGCAGCCAGCAGTGCTCCCCCCAACTCTGGGGCGGTGCCCCCACAGCTTTGAGACGGAATACCACACTTTTTTTGCAAATCTTTTCTTTTTTGTTGAAAAGCCAAGGGATGAAAAATAAGTGGCCTAAAACCGGTGAGAAAACTAGATTTGGGGGTACCCTAGGTTGATCTCTATTATGGTGTGCCCCCCCCCCCCCAGTCTGAAAGTAGTTCCCGCGCCCCTGTTCACAAGCTTGCCAACACGCATGTCGCATATACAATGACGTCATAGAACGTCAACGTCAGGCGACTGGTCACGTGATGGGCAAGAGCCAATCAGCGTTGGGACAAGAACGTGGCGTGGTCCTGGCGCTTGCTAAAAGAGAAAAATAAAAATACATGGAATGAAATCTAGCCTAGCACTAAAAGATGCTGGATCGCCGACTTTTAATGAAAAGTGCAAAGCGTGTTAAGACTATTCAGCGAAGCGTAAAATAAACGTGAAATCAATAATGTTGGCTAAAATGGTTTAAAATATACCTTAATAGCAAATTGAAATATTTATCGTCATAACTTTAAACTTGTCACCATGTGTGAAATCTGAAATTACCAGTACGGGGTTAAGAGCTATCATAAATAAACGCTAAGAAAGCGTGCAGAATACTTCGGGAAGGTTTGAGGTGAAAAGTGAGATATGGGGTGACTACCTCAGAATTAGTAGAACTTTGGGAATGAGTGAATGAAATGGGCCTAACGTAGGCGTAGGAGGCAAGTGCGATACAAGTCTGTCAATCGGCCGTGAAATGTGCAATATGTATGTATGCATGGTGCATAGGTACTACATACCAATTGGTACGTACCGTCTCTTAGGTCAATCTATTTTTGTTTGGGGCATTCCGTTCATGTATGAAGACGACAGGCAGCGTTGCAAACGCATACCTACTTCTTCAATTATTAGCTAAAACTCACCTCCACGACACAAATCCCAACTAAAATAGCTTATAGCAGAAACGTAGGGCGAAGTGACCAAATCGAAGGCACATAGATAACGAAGCCCCATATGTGCACGTCCCATACCTGCGACACATTTGACGCCCGGCAGACAATACCGACGCACACAAGCCTCCGAAAATATCTGCAAAAACGTACAACAAACCTGGATAAATACCTGAAATCGGTTGTAATGCAGGTGCTGGAGCCAGACGTCTTCTCTCAGTCCTGGCACTGGAGCTAATGTAACCAAAAGCCTGCCAATGGGGAGAAGTTCACGCCCCTCGCCGAGCCGGACGCAGCAGAAGCCTCAGATAGACAGCTGACTGGCGGCAAACAGCTGACTAGCGGGTGTCGTCGTCGGCTGATAACCGGCCAGGCGTCGTCGGTTGAGCAGCAGCAACGGCAGTACGGGCTAATGTCTTTGTAGTTCGGGTGGCATTGTGAGCTTTATTGACATACTAATTTATTGGTTGTAGTTCCTGGGGTAGCCGCCAGGGGCTCGCTTGAGGAATTTAAATATGCCGCCATGAGCCATCGGCAGTTCCGGATTCCGGCCACCAGGGTCTCTTCCAACAGACAGACTGGCCGTGCAACTTCATGTCCCATCATTGTCTGACCGGTTTTGCAACCGTCGACAGATTGCAAGT